TTAGAGCAGTTTTAGGTTTCCAGAAAATTTGAGCGGAAAGTACAGAGAGTTCCCATCTACCCTCTCTTTCTTTCCCCTTCCATGTCCCATGCCTGACAGTTTCCCCTACTATTAACATCTTGCATTAGTAGGGTACATTTGTTACAATTGAATTAGTATTATTACATCATTATTAACCAAAGTCCGTAGTTAAGTTAGGATTCAGTCCGTGTTGTACAAGTTTATAAATTTTGACAAATACGTAATGTTACGTATGTCATTACAGTATTATTCAGAATAGGTGCACTGCCCCCAAATCCCTTGGGCTCCACCTGTTCAAGTATACTCCTTTTAAAGTAGTGTAAACTCTGCTTAAAATGAACCCTAACCTATTAACCCTATTAATGCACATTTTAGTTGCTTCCCAGAAATTGATCAGTACCCCAGAAAGGTCTTAGTGAGTGAATACTTGTTATTTAGGATACTGGCCCATGATTGATCTTTGGTACTATTTATTCAACCCCCACATCCAGATGAAGAACATCTTATCACATCTTATAACTGGGGTGGTTCTAATTGTAATCCCCCCCTTACCTGCGGGTTCACTTTCCACGGTTTCAGTTACCCGTGGTCTGGGAGCAGATGATCCTCCTCCTGACAGATCGTCAGAAGGTCCATAGTAGCCTAACACTAGGTCACAACACCTACATCATTCCCCTTACTGCATCTCCTCACGGGGGCATTTTCTCATCTCATATCGTCATATGGAGAATGGTGAGTACAGGACAATAAGGTATTTTTAGAGAAAGACAGCATTCACATAAGTTTTATTACAGTACTTTGTTGTCTATTTTATTATTATTGTTTTTAATCTCTTACTATGCCTAATTTACAAATTAAACTTTATCATGGGTATGTATATATAGAAAAAATAGTATGTAGGGTTTGGTACAATCTACGGTTTCAGATATCTACTGGGGGTCTGGGAGTGTATCCCCCGTGGATGAGGGGGGTGACTATTGTGTAGTTAAAATTACTCTTGACAGTTCCTTGAAGGGTGCCTGGGTGGTTCAGTGGGTGGGTGCCCGACTCTTGATTTCAGCTCAGATCATGATTTCAGGGTCCTGGGATCTGGCCCCGTGCCAGGCTCCACCCTCAGCAGGAAGTCTGCTTGAGATCTCCACCCCCCTTCTCTAAAATAAATTAATAAATCTTAAGAAGAAAAGAAAAGAAAAAAAATTCCTTGAGAAGATGACATGTCAAAGAGCAGAGTTTATCTTTCAATAAATTCAACACAGGGAGTATTTTCTTCTGTTGAAACACAGAGCTGTTTCTTTAGTTAGGCACTAACATGTAATTTGCTGGTGTTTACCAAGCATGTAATAAATGCTAGAAAAATCTCAGTGTTGTGAGATGCTGGTGCTTTGAGGACACAGGAACTAAAGCCTTGTTAAAGGGCCACAACTTCAAACCTCCCGTTTATTCTCTTTTTTTTTTTCCTCCCGTTTATTCTCAACTACGAGCTCAGTGAACAGAATGATGGATAAAATCTCTCCCTTACTTCTGTCCCCTCTCCTCTCTCTTTTGCTTCTACATAACTAGTGTGCAGCATATACCCAGTACATACTTTCTAAAAGAATAAATGAAGTTATAGTGAATAGCAGCTTCTACTCTAGTGAGGTCTTGATTGCCACAAAATTAACTATAACCCAAAGAGGTAACTGAGTGCTAGGCTAAGTTCTTGGAACATAGCATATAGTTCACATGGACCCAGAAGATAATAATACATATGTAATTGTTGGTGATGATGAATAACAAAAAGTGTTGTCCTTAGCCTATCATTTTAGAATATATACATGTATTTGCCCTTCATAAAAAACTCATAAGCCAACTTCTTTGAAAAAGGAAATGGGATTTGAAGGACAGAGCATAAAAGAAATTATTAAGAAAAATAAATATCATTACTGGGAGTTGACAGTTGACCTTTAACATGAATAAATTGGATTGTGGTATATTTTGGTTTTCAGGAAGTCCAAACCTGTTTTCCAAGATTGTCAATGTGGTTAAGGCTTACTGCTTAGATTTCAAATGAATAGAGAGATTTATTCTTACATAAGAACAGGAGCCAAGTGACTTTTTATTTCCTGTAGTAATTTGTAAAGCTGGATCTTTCCCCTTTAGGAAGGGCCACAACCTTCATTTTGAAATGTAATGTTGACAGGTACAAATCATAGTGTCTCCAAGCTAGGTAACACTCAACTCTCTGTTCTTACTGAAAGACAGTAAGCGTATGTACCGTTTGCTCAGTGGGTTCACTTGATTGCCTTGTAGCACGGTCAGGAAATGTGAGGGTAAAGGCAAAAGACAAAATTTCTGTAGACATAGAAGGAGAACCACTTACACCCAAGCCTGATCTGGTGACAGGAGTGAGCAATTTCTAATACAGCACAAGACAATGTGGGTCAAATAAAACCTATCTGCAGGCCATGCTTGGTTCCCCAGATTCATCTCTAACAATTGATCTGTGAGTGTTGAATGAATGCTTTGGGAGGAGATTCACCTTAGGTTGTGTTTGGTCCTCCAGTTGGGGGTTCATCTCTTCCAGTGCGAATCGCCGGGGCAAACACCAGGGAAGCTAACGTGAAAATGCATGAATGATGGCTCCTGAAATTCATTGGTTCAGTGTTTTCATTTGTAACTAGCAGGTTAGGGTGAAGGGGAGCTATGCCTTGCCAAAATGAGAAGGTGTGCGTTGGCTCTTTGGGACACTGTTCTGAGAGTCTGTCAAGGAAGCAGGTTATGGTCTTATCCTTTAAAGCCAAGTAGACTGGGTCTGCCTTCTGGCTTCCCTACACAGTTGCTGTGAGACATTGAGGAGTGGCTTAGCCTCTGGAAACCTCTCTTGCCTGTAAAGCATGGATAATAATAGTACCTACCACATGGAAAAAGTTGTGATGAGAACTATGAGGTAAATAATGACTTAGGAAGTGTGTTGCATGGGGTCACCTGAGTTGCTTAGTCGTTTAAGCATCCAGCTCTTGATTTTGGCTCAGGTCATGATCTCAGGGTCATGAGATCGAGTCCCACATTGGGCTCCGCACTCAATGGGGAGTCTGCTTGAGATTCTCCCTCTCCCTGTGCCCCTCTCCCTGCTCTTTCTCCTTCTCTCTCTCAAATAAATAAATAAATCTAAAAAAAAAAAAAAGTGTGTTGCAGGATGCCTGGCTCTCAACAAAGGATGGGTCATGGTAAAAATATGAAACAGTGGAAAGTAGGAGGAAAAGAATTACCAATGTGCTGTTAGATGGACACCAGTTTGGTCAGGATTTTGAGTAGCTCTTTATATACTTATCCGAAGCTCTGATAGACCCCAGAAAGTCATGTCTGTTTTCTCACAGACTACCTTCTTAAATACTTGGGGCAGTTTTTGAGAGTATTTTCTCTCATACTGTGTAGGCCAGCTATGACTGGGTTATATTACCTGTTCTTCCTTCTGTTAAGTTCTATAAAGACCACACCCCTCTCTCTCTCTCTCTCTCTCTTTTTAATTTTTAAGTAAGCTCTATACACCCAACATGGGGCTCGAACTCACATCCCCAAGATCAAGAGTCATATGTTCTACCGACTAAGCCAGCCAGGCACTCCCACACCCCTCTCTTTTGACAACTGGAATTTTGCCATTTTATAATGAGATAATAGCCAACCTTACACGAAGTACGTTTTTAGTTTACTTGATGCAATTTGAGCAATAGCGTGAGTTTCATTAGAAATACATTTTCACGTCATCTTCTATTCACGTGATTTCTAGTTGGCCAACTTGATTATTTAATTTCAGAGTGTGGTAAGGAAATAACCAACAAGTAATAGAAAAGTCTATATGCACTTTTTTAAAAAAGATTTTATCTGGGGTGCCTGGGTGGTTCAGTCGGTTAAGCATCTGTCTTTGGCTCAAGTCATGGTCTCAGGGTCCTGGGATCAAGCCCAGTGTCGGGCTCCCTGCTCGCAGGGAACCTGCTTCTCCCTCTCCTCCCTGCTCATGTTCTCTCTTGCTATCTCTTTCTCTCAAATAAATAAAGATTTTTTTAAAGATTTTATTTATTTACTTATTTATTTGACAGAGAGAGACACAGTGAGAGAGGGAACACAGGCAGGGGGAGTGGGGAAGGGAGAAGCAGGCTTCCTGCCGAGCAGGGAGCCCAATGCAGGGCTCGATCCCAGGACCCTGGGATCATGACCTGAGCCGAAGGCAGCTGCTTAACGACTGAGCCACCCAGGAGCCCCAATAAATAAAAATTTTTTATTAAATCTTTTATTAAAGATTTTATTTATTTATTTGAGAGAGGGAGAGAGTGCCCATGATTGACGGGGAGGGGTGGAGGGAGAGGGAGAAGGAGACTCCCCACTTAGCGGCAAGCCCATTGTGGAGCTTGATCCCAGGACCCTGGGATCATGACCTGAGCCAAAGGCAGACACTTAACCTACTGAGCCACCCAGGTGCCCCTCTATAAACTTTTTATTGAATTGACATCTATTATGAAAAATTGGTGATACTATGGGTGGTTTTTATGATAACCTATATTCCAACAATATTATGTAGGCGCTAAAGATCATTATGAGGGTGCTATAGGAACATAGAGAAATATGTAATGAAATTTGAAGAATGCTGTATAAAAATGGAATATCCACAATTATAATAATTATGTAATAGAATAGATACACATAGGAAATATACAATGAAAATGGCTGCAAGTTTGTCAGGAGAGTAAGGAAAATAGGATTATGGCACCTGAATACTGTTATTTTAATTTTTTTGGTCTTTATAAAAACTTCAAAATATCAGATGGCTTGGGGGGTTCAGTTGGCGGCTATCTCTAATTGAATCCATAGCCTTATGTGTGTACTGACAATATGTGGCTAGAGCCCAGTATACTGTAGTTATTTATCAGATTTTCTCTGGTCACTAGCTTGGATGATATTTTAGATAATGGTGACTGACATTACTGTATTCCTCTTCTTTTCAGTGATGAAAATGCCAGGAAAGATTTAAAGACCCTACCAGCCTTTCCAACCAAAACTCTTCAGGAGCATCCATCCCTTGCTTACTGGTAAGCCAGAGCAAGACAACAGGTGACCTTGATATCATAACCTCCATTGAGAACTGCATGCTTTTCAAGAAATTAAAAGAAACATAAGTGAAAAAAGTATCAAATAGCCCATCACATGCATCAGAGTGACTATTACCTTGATCCTTTCCGTGAAAGGGTCTTGCCAAAGCTACTGGAGATCATCATACTAAGATTGTAGTCATTTGTGAAGTGTGGCTACGTGCCTTCTCATTCACATGTGTTAAAGGTCTGTAGAGCATGCTTTTAAGTAAACATAATGCTCAATACGTGTGCAGTCGCTGTGTAATGTGGCCTTAATCTAGCAGAGTGTAATATACATGTTATAAAATACAGATTTCCTTCGATGGAGGTTTTCTTAATGGCCAGAAATGACCTGACTGATCAGAAGTGTCTTCTGTGGCCAAAAATTGTTGTATATTTCAAGTCGTTCTATTTGTTTCTATTTTAATAAATCCATAGTACCCATTTTCCTTACAGCATTTTTCCTAGAAAAGTACTTATTTCCCCCTTTGAATTAGTTACATCCCCTTTAAATACAGTTTCCTTGACTTATGGCTCTGAATCCTGAAGATAGTTTTCCTTTCCACTGAAAAACTGATTACAAGATAAATATTCAACATGAATAGCTTTAATAGGAAATATGAAATGCAGTTCCCACAGAAAGAGCAAAAGTGAGTCCTGAGACTACATTGCTTCCTGAGTCTGGAATCTTCCAAACAAATCCTTGTTAAGTGATAGTTTCTTAAGAAAAAAAAAAAAACAAAGACCGTTTACCACTGATTGCTGGTTGTGTAGAGATAAAAACATTTACCCTTCTAGGTTATACTTGAGATATGACGGGTCTCTGTAAGTAGGGTACAGTAGCTGACATCAAAGGTGAAAGACTTTAGCCTAGTTCTTGCCTTTCTAGTCAACAAGTTTGGCTTTTTTTTTTTTTTACTAAGTTATCTCTACCCCCAGTGTGGGGCTTGAACTCATGACCCCAAGATCAAGAGTCACATGTTCTACTGACTGAGCCAGCCAGGTGCCCCTCTAGTCAACAAGTTTTATATTGGGACAATAATGAAGGGTTTTCTGTGAAAGCAGTGTGCCCCAGGTAGCGAGTGACAAGAGAGTATTTTGGATTGCACACCAGTCTCAGAACAGTTTTAATCCTTTCTAAATCTTTGTGGATAATTTAAGGAAAATGCCTTTAATAACTGACACATGCTGATCTCTTTTTTTTAAGCCATTTAATTTCCCTAGCAAGGCTCACTAATTAGTATTTAATAATATTATTTTGTATTTTATATCCCATTCAATTATGAAAAATACCAGTTTTTCATATGATAAATTGATATTATCTTTCCTTTTCCAATAAATTGTTTTTAAAAGTATTGATATATTTATACATCATATAAAATATAAATAAAAATTCATGATAGTAGCCAAATGTCTGAGGTTCAGGAATCCATGTCTTACAGAAACTCAAGTCAGCCAGCTTCTATCTCCCAAACAAGTTGGTGAAGGTCTTTATTCTTAAGTTTCTCAACAAGCCAGCTGAGAATCTTGAAACTGAGTCTGTACCCCATATAATCGTGCATGCCATATTTCTCATTTCCTTGTTTTACAGTGAGGACAGGGTAATTGAGCATTATTTGAAAATCAAAGGTCTGACTCGGGGTCAAGCGGTGGTTCAGTAAGTATCTGTCTTTCCTTTTGCTTAGATAGAATTTTAATGTCTTCTGTTTGAAGAAATCATCTGAAAATGATTTCTATTGTGTGGTTTGTGTGTATATCGTCCCCATCTGGTTAGAAAAGCCTTGCTATGAATTATAAAATGCCTTGAGTCATTCCATAGCTGGTGTTATTAATTCAGATATCATCCAGTGTCAGGCAGGTAGCAAAACAGAAATTTAGGCCAAGTGTAGGGCAATAGGGAGTTGTGGGGACTGAAGTAAACTAGAGAGCTGTTGTCCTGAGTAGAGGCAAGGTGATTCAGTCTCAGAAATCAGGCCTAAAGCTATCAGACCTGATATTTCTAAGAAAAGCTGGAAATTCTGATTTTTAAAATCCAATTTTAAACATTGCAAAGTAATTTTAAGAAAATTTTATTACAACGCAAGCCAAACAAAACCTATCTGGAGGCCATGTTTGGTTGCCTAGTTTACGACTCTACTTTGAGTAGAGCATACAGTGTTGGTGTTGGATAATCTATGTCTGCATGCTACCAAGAACAGACCAGTGATATATCTCTGCATTTTAGACTTACAGAGTTACCACCCATTTATTTATTTTTTTTAAGATTTATTAAAATCAGCGGGGACCCCTGATGCAGGGCCCGATTCCAGGACTTTGAGATCATGACCTGAACCGAAACCAAGAGTCTGAGGCTTAAGCGACCGAGCCATCCAGGCACCCCACCATCCCTTTATTAACAATAGTTCACAAGCTACGTTGAAGTTTTAAAATTATAAGAACTAAATTTATAATTTTATAATTTTAAAATTATAAAAATGAATATAGCATTGCTGTAGTAATTGTAGAATAACTTTTATGGCCATAGAAGTTCTTTTAAAAACCCACTGAATATCGCTCAGAGCATGTGAGAACTGAAGTAAGGACTTAGAGACCACATTTCCCCTGGTCAGTGTATAGATCTCCCTTACAACCTCTACCTCTTGCACTAATCGCCTTTTTATCACGGCACACCTTCTGTGGTCTTCAAGGCAGAAATCAAAAATGAGCAGTCCTGAAGTTGAATCCTTGACATTTTAACTCATGGTGCTTGTTTTCTGCGGGGGTGGGAAACGAGTAACAATTTCCCTGAAGGATTTTAGGTTAGGCTAATGAGCATGTTATGAAGTGTCCTTGTTTAAATGCAGAGTCCTTTTACTTCCCTTGATCATTATCGTTGTGGCTCCAAGTAAGAGACTAACTTGGTGGTTAAGGCTCTAGACTGTGGAAGCTATCTCACTTTGTTAGAATCTTGGTTGTGCAGTGTATTTGCTGCATGTTGCTGGCACATTTTACATATACAGGCCATTTACTTTTTAAAAAAGCATCCCAAATTATTGATTACAAAACCCAGAGCAATTGATATTCAAACTGTCATTAAAAAGCCCACTTATACTAAACAGGAACCTCAATTCTTTGTGAGCAGAGAGGAAGTCTTACACAATTTTATTTCACTCCATAAAACCTTAGAAGTACACAATCAATACTTGTTGATTAGAAATAATAAATGGAGAAATCATTGTTTTAATTTTTATTTGGAGGGGTATTTTTTTTAAAGATTTTATTTATTTATTTGAGAGAGAGAATGAGAGAGAGAGAGCACATGAGAGGAGAGAGGGTCAGAGGGAGAAGCAGACTCCTCGCTGAGCAGGGAGCCCGACGTGGGACTCGATCCTGGGACTCCAGGATCATGACCTGAGCCGAAGGCAGTCACTTAACCAACTGAGCCACCCAGGCGCCCTGGCGGGGTATATTTTTTAAAATCAGTTTGATATACAATAAAATTCATCCTTTTTAGGTACATATTTCTTAGAGTTTAGACCTGAGAGTTAAGTAGATATTTCTAAGAGTTTACCACAATCAGTAAATGGAATCACTTTTTTTTTTGACAATTTATTTTTTTGACTATATGTATGTACGTATGTATGTAATTTCTAGGCCCAACATGGCACTCCCAACTCACAATCCCAAGATCAAGAGCCATATGGTCTGCTGACTGAGTCAGCTAGATGCCCTACAATTGCTTTACTTTTTACTTGTTATGGGCATGACCCAAAAGTTGTTCTCATTGCTTTGCATTAAGTGCTTAGTTTAGTGCTTAGTTTTAAAAATACTTGCAGTTTGGATTTATGATACAGAAACATACTAGAATATGTTTCTAAGACATAGAAATCTTAATATGCAGAAAATAACATTTCTTATAGCTTTTGGGAATTGAAGTTTTGTTAGCAACTTCCTAACATTTGGGTAAGGTAAAATATATTACTCCCTAGAATGGTTTATTCTATTTCTACTTTAGTCAGAGGCATTAGCCATGGTTGTAATGAGGAAAGTAGACACAAATTGTGTTTCTTTTCTTTTCTTTTTTTTAAGATTTATTTATTTATTTGAGAGAGAGTGAGCGAGCAGGGGGAGGGGCAAAGAGAGAGGGAGAGAGAACCTAAAGCAGACTCTCCACTGAGTGCAGAGCCCTACGTGGGCTGGATCTCAGGATCCTGAGATCGTGACCTGAGCCAAAATCAAGAATCGGACACTTAACTGACTGAGCCACCCAGGCGCCTCACAAATCATATTTCTGTACATCACTTTTCCCAAAATGATCCTCTAATTTATTAAGAGATGATAATATATATTCATTTTTCGTAGGTATATGAAAATAGTAGAAGCTCTACCCACGTATGGAGTCCATTATTATGCAGTAAAGGTAAATACTTTTGCACAACAAAGCTTTCATAATGCCCATGTTAGTTTGTGAGTTAGTGAACAGCACCAACGTCTAAAATCACATAAATTAATATGCATATGTATGCAAATTATCTCTATAAATTTCAACATTTAAAATATGATTGATTTTCTTAAAAAATTAAAAGCCTGATTATATCTTGTCATTTGTAGCAAATTATAAAGCTCGTTATTTTTGTAAAATACTTGCTCCATTCAAATGTTTTCCCAAAACCTCTATTAATCCTAACATACTCAAATTATTCTCTTTTAGCACATCCATTCCTTTTACCTATTTTTGCTGCTATTTCTCTTCCCCAGTGGTTCACCTGTCTAATAGTGCTGGATACTCACTTGATAGAACCTTTATATGAGAATCAAAAACTTGCCATTGTCATTTCAGCAAATTCATAAAGTTCTCAAAATTTTGCAGGATTTGTGATAGCAATTTTCAATTGGTATATTTCATATTTGTGTAGTATTTTCAGGTGTTTTCTTTTTTTTTTTTTATATTCATGAGAGACAGGGAGAGAGAGAGAGGGAGAAGCAGGCTCCCAAGGAGCAGGGAGCCCAATGCGGGACTCGATCCCAGGACCCTGGGATCATGACCTGAGCCGAAGGCAGACACTTAACCATCTGAGCCACCCAGGCGCCCTCAGGTGTTTTCATGCAGGGAGAGATTGATTAAGAATGAAGGGGAGGAATCAGAGGGGGAGACGAACCATGAGAGACTATGGACTCTGAAAATTAAACTGAGGGTTCTAGAGGGGAGGGGGGAGGATGTGTTAGCCTCGTGATGGGTATTAAAGAGGGCACGTTCTGCATGGAGCACTGGGTGTTATACGCAAACAGTGAATCATGGAACACTACATCAAAAACTAATGATGTAATGTATGGTGATTAACATAGCATAATAAAAAAAAGAACTATTTTGAGATGTAAGGGATAAAGCACCATTAAGAAGGGGGTCTTGTTTGAAAGGAATTTTATCATAGATCAATCTTGAGTGACTTTTCAAGTTACAACAGTATTTGCAATTCAAAATGGGAGATTAAATAATAAATACTTGCATAATGAGGATACCTTGTACTAAAAATATGCAGCAATTCAACTTCGGTTTCTCCCGATTCCTAATTTTTTTGCATATGGGTATATGTTTAAGTCTAAATTTTTCTTTCCCTATGTCAATGCATCCTTCGCTTTGGCAAGACCTAAAAGATAAATTTATGAAAAAAAAATTCCTCTCCTCCCCATATGTACCTCAAAGTGATGATTCAAACATCCTGCCTTTGAATCATACAGTTCTCCAAAAGAGCTTTTCAGTATTCCCACATTCATTGTTAAGCGGATTATAAACATCAGGTTTGCAGCCACCTTTCTCATCTTTGTAATTCTTTGGAAACTTCCCTGACCATTATAACTGGTTACTGATCAAGAGAACAGAGAGCTTTTTTTCTTTTTCTTTTTAGTTTCTTTTCTTTTCTTTCTTTTCTTTTTTTTTAAACGGATAACTGGCTTTCCACTTCGGATTAATTTTACATTTTCTTTCTTTTCTCCAACAGTCAAGACAGTAATGGTTCATTCTTTTTGATGGCATTAATAGTATTGATCTAACTTACGGATCTTTTTTGAAGGCATTTTAATAGCAAGTTAGGTTTTTAAGTAATGTTTTGTTTACCAAGACAGCTTTATTGTGACTTGCTGATATTTGTTAAAAGATGAAATTGGTAAATCTTTACCTCTAGAAGACTGAACAATTAGGGCTTGGTTCTCATGTTTTTCCATCTTCCAGGATAAACAAGGACTTCCTTGGTGGCTTGGAATCAGCTATAAAGGAATCGGCCAGTATGATTTGCAAGATAAAGTGAAACCTCGGAAAGTAAGTGTGAATCATTTTAGGCACATAGGAGAACTTAAGCTATTCTGGATTTGGCAACATTGCTTTAATGGGCACCAGAATAGTCTCAGACAAGTAACTTTTGTTAGTGAAGCCATGGGTTCAGAGAAGGCTCAGGTTAAGTGAAAAATGCTTTTTATAACTAATTTATGTACCTTTCACCCAGCAGTTCCACATCTGATCATTTATTCTAAGGGAATTAAGTTATGCACAAAGACTTAACTGTAAGGATGTTGATCCCAACTTCATTTATAAAGGCATACAATTAAATTTCTATTTTAAGGTCATATGAAGAGAAGGATGACATTTGTTTTCCAAGTTTTGTATATATCTATCTGTTATATAGGCATAAAATATTTATTTATATACATAATTATATATAACGTTAATATATTTTTTACATAAATTATATACAGACACACACATATATACATACGTACATATACATACATACGCTTACTGACATTGGATGGATACACAGGTGGATGGATTGTGAAGACATAAGCCTGAGTATTTGGTGCTGGCTCCCTCTCAGTAACCCAGTCCTGACTGATCTTTTGACTACTGCTGCTATTTTCACTTATCTTTGGTTCACAGTTTTCCACACGAAACATGTCTGCTTTTTTCAAAAGAAAAATAAGTTCTGTGCTGTTTATTAAAAGTCACACTCCCTCAGGTTTGGGTGTTCCAGATCTAATAAATGACGTTATTTTCCATTTGAACTGTGGCCATGACACTTCTTCTCTTGATCCAAGCACAAGCGTATAATCCGTTTCTGCCCATATGAGAATGGATGAGTCTGCGTAGACAGCCACCCACCTGCCCTGGCCTAACCGTGTATTATAACGATGCGAAGGTTTACTCATGCCACCCCTGGTTGGTTTCACTGCCCTCCCTGTGCTCTGCTGCCAGCAGGGGGCGACACGACAGTGAAACAGTGACCTATAATAGCAGACCATGTGCTATCATACCCCGACATTGAAGCCTTGAATAACTCCTATCATTTCCATCTGTCTCGTGCTTTAATGTCTGTTAGAAAAACAGCCATATTCATCATAAAGCGGCCTTTGTCATCATACCACAGCATTATTCATCTTCTTTGTGGTTTTTCAGCTTTTATCAATGCTCAAAATCTTTCGTTGAGTTAAAATAACTAAGCTCCTCTTTTCTCCCCATTTTATGATTGTGAAGCTGACACAGACAACACAAAGGGGTGGCCCAGGGCTCACCCCCTCCTAATGCCAGTCCTGCCCTCCCGGAGCAGACTAGCTGGGCATTGAGGCTTCTTATTGGAAAATATTGATCAAAATAATAAAATAACATTTCGTAACCTATTTCCATCTGTGTGAGGGACAGGAAGACAGCATGTATGTAATCCTATAACAAAATGGTGTCTCTGTAAGCCCTGTGACCAAGATCAATTGAAGTAAGGTATACCTACTTAATTTCTAGGAGGAGTATGAATAATGTTGTTCATACTTGAAAATTTGCCTCTAAGACCAAATTTCAAATAAATAATGTTAGAAATGATGGGCATGTGATTTTTTTCAAAATCATTTTCAAAATCATTTTTATTTATAGTTACTTTTTTAACCAAAAGTTATACATAGCCATTGTAAAAACAACAACAACAACAAAAATACCAACTACAGAAATATGTCAGTTAGAGCAGGAAGTCCTTCTGCAATTTCCATCCCTTACCCATAATAACCACAGTCAAGAGAATGATAACTGGTTCATTGAGACTTTGTCAGTGTATATCCTAAGCTTTCCAAAGAGAGAAATCTTTCTATGCACACTATTTCGTCCCATGTCCTGTTTCTCCAGGTTACTTTGTAAACACATCTCTCTTCACTTGGTCTAAAGCTGCCCAGTAATCCAATATGTGGAAATACATACAAATACTGATTCGCTTTTGATGGACATCATGGTTGTTAACTGTGGGGGTCCATGGCGGGGAGAAGGAGCATAATGAATTCCAGTCAAGGCATATAACTAATCCCTAGTTTATCTATTTTATATTACCAAATCATTGCTTATCGTGTTTTCTTGAGGTAGACCTCAACCTATATTAACATTTTTTGGTAATTTATTTCTCTGCTGAATTTTACTTTAAGAAATAACATTCAGGAGTCTCACTAGTTTCGCTGAATCTTTCATGTCATATATAACTTAAATCAACTCACAAGTCATCTCTTAGCGAATGTGGCTTCATGAAATTGAGAATCCTGCAGAATATAAATGCATCTACTAAAAACAACCAGACTTTCTCCCAAAATAATGGTGAATCAGAATCTGCACAGTAAATATTGCAGCGAATTTCCTCTTAGTTGCTTATGACTCACAGCCCTTTCTTTACATTCACAGTTTCATAGGAATTGGTCAATATTGTTTGACACTGATCACAATCAGGCTTGCTTGTTCATCCCAGAGTTGAGACAAGGATTAAAAGACACTTTCTTTTTTCGACTGGCAGAGTTTTCGTTTTCATTTTCAAGATGTGCCATTCAATTCAAAAAGGACCTAACCGGGCCATCTTGTTTACCACTGCCTCGTCTTCTCTGTCTTGGTTATTTTTGCAGCCGTCCACTGTATCACTGTTTGCATCCTCCTTCTTCTGTTAAAACCCGACAATGGATTTTGCTTCCACCTGTTTCTTTTTCCATGGCCAAACAACCTACGGGTTTAATTGGAGGGAGGATGTTCTACAAGTCACTGCCCTGGCCCAGTTGGTCCAAATGAAAGAGCCATAATTTAAAAGGCCGTGAGCACTGACTTGTAAATAGGAGGATCATGCTTCAGCTGTTTGCATGACCTGGGCCCACAGCAAGTTACCAGTGGCCGAGCATGAATGAAGGTCAAGATTGGCAAACCCTGAAACAAAGGCTGGAATGGGAGGCCTTGGAGATGCTCAGCCTCTTGAGCTGCTTGTTACACATGCCTGCTGAGTTATAATTATGTAGCTTAAAAACAGGCCAGAAGGGGGAAGATTGGCCAATAATAAGAGAGACTGACTAATGCCAAAGCCTATTTCGAAAAAAATGTTTGCCCAAGACCCACAAGCTGAAGCTTTCTGTCCTTTCCATATAATGTCTATTAGTTGTAGCCTAGAAATGTTGGGGACTATGTTTCTCGTACCTGCCAGAACACCCAGTTCTTCATGTATTTTGGCTCTAAGGCTTTTGCCAGTCATGGGGGAAAGTTTTCAGTCTGTGTAGGATAATGATGCAGAGCAAGAATTTGGGAAGCAACCCATGGCCTGTCTTTGGTGTCTGGTGTCTGTTTGCTCTGTGACCTTGGGCATGTTTTGTTTTTTTTTTTTAAATGCGGGTTACAGCCCAGCAACCTATTTTTTTTTTTTAAGATTTTATTTATTCATTCATGAGAGACGGAGAGAGAGAGGGAGAGAGAGAGAGAAGCAGAGGGAGAAGCAGGCTCCCAAGGAGCAGGGAGCCCGATGCGGGACTCGATCCCAGGACCCCGGG